AAAAGGTTATTACCGCCATCTACTGGGCTGGCGTGGTGGTGCGAGACTCCAGAAAGAATTAGCCTACAAATACACACCCTGCTACCATAAATTACATTTCATCTCTGCTCACAATTTCTGTCTCTCTTTATAACTCAAAAATGCTGCTGTCCCAACATTAATAATTCTTTCCAATAACTGCCAATAACTTCTACATCCCCTTGTTTCTGTGTTTTAGTTTGATCATTTCTCTAGCTTTCCTATTTAACAGCACTATTCCCCTGTTCCCCTTTCCCTTTGGCACTGAGCAAATTATATTTCCCTGATAGTTGCATATGCAGATGCAGTTGATCATCAGTTGATTATTTTTCCCTTTTCTTATTGTCTTGCGTTGGTACATTTTCCCTGTATAGTCTATGAATGCCTTTAGTTTGCCCCTGTGGCCCATCTTTGCTGCCATTTATTTCTTATTTTCAATACTTTTAATGCTTTTACTACTACTATTACTACTACTTATTTATCTTCCAGCTGGTCCCTTTTCGGGTCATCACAATAGATCATCTGCTTCCATCTCCCCCAATCCTTTGCATGCTCGTCTGTCTCACCAACCCCCTTTATGTCCTCCTTCACTACACTTACACCTTCTTTTTGCCTGGCAGCTCCACCTTCAGCATCCTTTGTCCGATATATTATCCACCCTATCAAACTCTTCTCAACCTTGCTTCTCTTACTTCGTCTCCAAACTGCTCAGAAATCTTACCATGTTCACTTCTGACCACCGACAGCTCCACTAGACATGATAAAGGGTCTCACTCCCTTGCGTGAACCCTTCCTTTCGTTCTTGTTGCTATCCTCCTGTCACAAATCACCCCTGACACTCATCTCCACCCGCTCCACCGTGCCCGCACTCTCTTGTGTTTTTTGTAACGTTAGAACCTTTCAAATAAAGTTATATTGAAGAGCGCTTCCACGTGACAGCTTTGTTTACGCGGTGACGTGTACCGGAAGCTGTGTTAAAATGACTCCAGTATCAGCAGGACCTGTAAGGCTGTGAAAGACAGGTGTTAGCATTGTAATGTTATTAATGTCTAGCAGTTTATTAAGTCCGCACAGACGCTGTTGTAATATATTAACCTTAGCTTTATTTACAATTTAAATATTAGCTAGTCGTAGGATTCGCTGTCTCTGCTGAGTGGTTGATATTACGCCATTCAGTATCATCATTATCAGCAGCAAGATCCTGCTGAGCAGCGAGGACAGACTGCCAAGACATATTTCACCTCTCTGGTTATTACATTTTGGTACGTTTCACCTGTTCTTATCGGCTTTTAAAGCGTCAAAATTGAATATTTTTATGTTATACATTAACTGTAAACTTCAAGTGGTTCTCTTGTCGGTGAACTAACAGATGTTCGACATAGCATTTCTTTACTAACGTTCATTTTTCTCTCAGCTCTTGCATGAAGTTACTGGTTGTCCATTGGAGGCATGGCTAGTCCAAACAACCTACAGTTTCAAGGTAAAT